GCTTCTACCGAACATCCTCTGGAGATGACCTCATCATTCTCATAACGAGAACGGTCACACACACACGGGGTCATTCCTCCACCTCGCTGCCTTGTTGCAGTGCAGAAATGGCATGGTACAGACGAAGCTCATACGTGCGAGGTCTGAGCATCGTGTACACGTCTATGAGTATTAAAAGTCGTGAAGATCAGAGACGAGTGAGTAAGAAAGCAAGCCATACACGGCAGCCATCGGAGCTTCCAATGCGAATTGGAGCGATGTACAGATCCCCGCTGAGCTGCGACTTGAGAAGTCTGATGTGGAAACTAAGAGGCTCAGCCGATTTTGGAGGTGCTCAGATATGGAGTAGACTTTGACAGAATCCGAGCATAAAATTCATGGAGTAGACTGTGAGCGAAGGATATGGAGTAGACTTTGAGCGAATCCAGCGCCTCTCTCTGCAGCAGTCTTGCTTGGTTCTTATCCGAAGGCCCTTCACTCACTGATGACAAGCTCGATAGACCGTCTGCTGATTCCACTTTCTTACTCTCAAGGAAATTTAGATAGTTTGCCGGTTCTCCGATCGCTTTGTTTGAGAGCAGCAGCTGTCGACGCAATCCTTCTTTTAGAGATTTGACAGAGGTGCCTTGAATACCAAGCGAGGCTGGTGAGCTCCTTAAGAAGAAGAAGAAGAAGAAGAAGACGGCTAACTGACGTGAGAGCTCGAGCAGCTCAGGTGTCATACTGACATTGGTCGGAAAATATCATGATTGCTTCGGCAGCTGGTCCAAACCCCGACAACTTTACCATTCAAGCTGTCATTCGCTGTGCTGTACCTCCTGGCGAGAAGAAAACTTGCGGAGGTTGAGCCTCAGGGTTCCTAATACGGATGTCTGGATTCTGGGAAATTCAGTCCATTCACGTCTGTACATGGCGTGAATTTGAAATACAGGTGCACGTGGTCGGTTCAGAGAGCTTTCAAATCCCCCATTTTGGACATGATATAACCAGGCACTCGGGATTTTGTTAAGTATCCAAGCCACTAGAAACAAGTTCATCGCAGAAACGTAAGATATGGATTGCTTGGACGGTACGTCAGACTTCGGACATGGCAGCTTCTATCACGGCTTCTCTGTTATCATTTGAAACCAGATCTGCGGGCAAATGGATGAAAATGGTTCTTGTCCAGCATCACATGTCTCTTGCGCTGGGCACTTTGGCTTTGTTTCAGCAGCTTGAGAAATAACATGTAATCCTCCCGATTTCGCCCAACTCGTTTCTGACGATGAATGCATGTGAGAGCTCGTGGTGTCCAGGACTAGCAGCCAAAACAGATGGAGTACTCTCGAGGTGGGGTGAGGCTAGCGGCGCAGTGCGGAGAGAGATGTGCACCATACACAACCTTGTTGCGTTGTAAATGGCTCAGTAAGTTGAAATACCTGATGTCAAGTACTGACGGCTGCTGATCGAAGAGTTACTTTTGCTGATAAGCAAAACTAACATTGGCGTTAATGGACACAGCTCACATCCCATAGACTATGACACTTTCCTGCCCTCCAGACCTTATTGCAAGAACCCTGGTCTTCGTAAGCAGGCCGGGCGACCTTGCCTTCCGACTTCCCGATTTGGCATCCCATTCAGCCGAAACTTCTTGTGGCTCTGAGTGGCAAGTTGTCCACTGCAAGAACTTCACAATCCAAAATGCACAAGAAATGGCGCACGATGACATCACGCCGTTCTCTCAACTTGCTGTATAAGATTCGACGAGGACTCTGCAAAGTATGACAGGTAGGAATGGAAGACATTCTGTTGGGTTTGACCTTCAGAGACTTGGGTTCCTTGCCCAGGTCTCTGGAAAGTGCATGTGGAAAATTGCACGGCAGGTCTACTGAACGTCCAGCAGCAGCCTATATTGAATCGGCCGTCAACCCCACGTGAGCAATTGGGGTCGCAGAATGCAAGGCTGAGGATTCAATCCTTCAGAGTTGCAACGAATGTTTCAGAGTCGTTTAGCTGCATGGGAGGCTCCACGCTTCTCTGAAAGCTCCAGCCGATACATGCACACAAGGCACAGAATTCATCCTTCTCATCATACTAGATGAAATTGGAGACTGGAGATCGTGACCTGGAGAGCCACGCTGACTTTGTAACCCTTATTACTTCGTGACAACCTTCAAGTCTATGAGCCAATTGGGCATGGTCTGTCAAGGTATGGCGAGTTGTAGACCTAACGTAGATCCTGAGATTTCGTGCCCGACACATCACAGTTCTTGGCGTGTATCTCAGATCAACATGGCAGGGTGATATCCTCCACTAGGGGACGACTATCAAGTCTTACTGCATGCCGTTGCTGTCGAATATCATCCTCCTGTACTCAAGCCCAGTGTCTATCTCGCAGCTCTATCTCCTGCTCTTCAACCATCTGGAGAAGTCTTATGGTACATACCGTTCTCCAGGAACTTCAGCCAAGCGCAGTTCCTGATCGTTTAAGTGCCAATCAGTACAGGACTAGCTGGAGGTCAAATCATTGTGTGAAGAAAAACGGCGCAATGTTCAGAGCAATCCACGAGCGCATGAGTCTTCCTGAGAAACGTCTCATATCAATGTCAGGTCAGGCCTGGACAATTTGTCAGCTGTCCAGCCTCGGACATGCTGTTCACTCTCAATTCGTCGTATTGGAAGGGAGTTGACGTCAGCGCAGTGATCTTTATGGTATACTTTACATTCAGTGCCGACTCATTGGCAACAATTACACTCCTCGACGTTTCAAGAGCCAGACGCAACAGGCGTAAGAATATAAGTTTGTTACACACCTTCCGACATACTAAGCTTCAAATCAAATTCATGCAGCTTAGGATCAGCATACGAACGTTAAAGCTCAATTAAGGCACATGTCATGGCTTAATTACAGGCACATGTCATGCAGACCAAAAGGGCCTTTGAAGTTGACTTGGCAATGATCAAAAAAGGATGTGCATTAAATTCAATCGTACACGAGAAGAAAATTCATCATAGCGTCAATCAGTTTGAACTACGCATACGTCAAATGATTGAGTTTCCCAAAGCTCAGGTTAGAGGATCTGCTTCACCATGTCGACTGAACTCTTAAGAAAATATTCTGATCGTATGAAGTTCTGGTTAAAGACTGCTGAAGCTTTCCGGTCTGAAGACATGCGTTCTCTATACTCAATGACATACAGTCTCCAACAACAGCGAGACAAGTGGATACTGGCCCCACTTTGAATGAAAAGAAATTTCTCTAGATGGAGACCAAGTCTTTTACAGAATAAACGGGACCTTCTTGGTCAGACCGGATTTGACCACCAAAGAGCTTGGGTTGAGTCTTTCCTGAGCAAGCGTCCGGAGACATGCGTGTCACGAAAAATGAGACAAAACTTTCACTGAGTTGGAGAACTTGGAAGACTCACATATCTAGCGATTTCAGTACAGGCACTATATTTCAGATTATAGGGCCACTATTCCCCGACTAGCATGCTTCCAAGATGTTTCAATCTGAGGACCTTAAAATGACCTTAAAAGTCGTCGACACGTTTTTTAATGGGGCGCAGTAATGCGGCTGATTGTCAGCACTTCATATACGCGTATAGTCAGCAGGGAAGATTCTCCGGACACATTCCGATGATTTCACTTTGAAGAATTTCATCCCAGCCAGAAGCTTAGATTTTGTCTGAGCAGTTCACATACGAAGGACCTGTGGGATAAAAGTAGTAGCAGCTGCTCACGAATTAAGCTTTGACTTCTTCGTTCGCTGATAAGTCTGAAACGTTCTATCCTCAATATTACACGAGGCACACAACATTAGAGATGGCAGTCGCCTGTTGCCGTTCTGGTTCTGGAAGTCCAGTCATTGCGGGATGTCTACCAGATTCTTTATTCTCCATACCGGATTCGCGCGAATTCGCACCGTCAAGAGGCAGCTGTGGTCCACTTTGTGTTGGCTTATGAATGGATCAACTTAGTTCAGGAGTTATAATGTGGACTTGATTATTCAGATTGAACTGATTCAGCTTTAAGAGAACGAGTCAACTTCAACTGCAAATGCAGTCAGGCAGTTCTTGTATGTACATTCATGGGACTATTAGATGTAAGAACATCATTCCAAGAAATGGGTGGAGGGAGCAGATATGGTTCATGGAATCAGTGGAATGTAATGAAGTAAGATCAGGGGACCCAAAAGGTCATTTGTCCAAAAAATATAGGGACTTTGGCCGTGAAGGCGAGCTCCATGATGAGATAATGATGAGATTGCTTGTCTCTTGATGTGCCCTCACCCAAAGGCGGGTGCAAAGGCAGCATAGTTCAATCTGAATTTTAGACTATTCACGCACGAATAACGTAAAAAGTTTCTCAATTGAAAGTCACACAATTTTACTACGTCACCTCTCAAAGAATTGAGCTGGACTAAAATGTCGCTGCCACCTGATTCCCGATTTTTTGCATGAGTTTTCAGAATTTGCAAACCGATAACGCATTCACATGCTTTCTGTCACATAATTACGTCACACAAGAAGCAGGGACCTTGGCCGGAACGCAGTAAAACCAGATAAAAAGTACTTTGTCAAGAGATCTGATGATAAAGTTATCGAAATAATCTCTCTACACTAATCACGGACTCGTCGACTGGAGTATTTCCAGTTCACTTCAAAGACCCACATGAGACTACTGTAAGATGGCAATCTCATAATCTAGTCCGACAAGGGCACATTTATCTAATAATTGGAAAAGAACATATATGGTCCAAACTTTGGTATACAGGCCTAGCTCAGACGCTTCAAGTTAGGCAGGCGTGTCCATGCAAGCAATATCTACCACCGCTGAGTACTGCAGAAGCCAGACTCCACGAAGAGTCCCACTTCTGGGTTCGGATTTCCGAGGCATGGAAGCCCAGATCCAGAGACAATTGATGAGACAATCCAGAGACTTTACTATTTCTCTCAAAACGTATTAGAGATAAGTATCGTTATGTGCGAGGGTCATAGTAGACTCCGCAAGGTAGAATCCACCGTTGGTCAGTCTGTTCGGATTCCTCCTTTCTAGCACCCTTTCATGATCCTGTTTCGACTTTGTAAGAATTATTCTCTCAAGGCGAGCAAGCACCGGTGGTCCACGCTGCGGTCTGTGTCATGAAAAGTGGAAAAAAGTAAATTCTGTCAGCTGTTTCTGCAGAACGATCCCGGTTGCTTCGAGGGTTAGAGTAGGAGCGTTCTCGCACGATCTAGAGAACATGAGAGTGAGCCTTTATAAGGACATTCGATGAGCTTCTACCTCACTCAGAGTTGTACACCCTGGAGTACGATTCACATAGACATTGTGAAATCCACGTGGTCAATTCAATTCCAGTTCGACGTGCAGTTCCAAAATCATCACCGTCATGGGGACGAATCCGAGACGAACCGAGGCTCCAGCTCTCAGATTTAGCCATGCTTCTCATCTGAAGCTTGCCTGTCTTCTCGGGGTGTTGTACTCACTATCAGTGATTCAGGCTCAGGATGTTCACTCCCGGTGCGGAAACTTGACTCCGTCACCTACTCTGACACCATTCGTGCAGCCACTGCCTATACCTGTGGAAATCGACATCTCCACAGGGTCTCAGCTGACTTTGGGTGCTTACAAGATTTCCCAGGTACGGATTCTCAGAGTTTTAGCGTGCACTGCTTTATGCCAGAAACCCCGGGTACAAAACACTCAGCTGAAGTACAACAGTGGAAGGTCCATGCAGCTGAATGGTTCACTTGTACCGGAGGGGATTCCGATAGAGCCAGTTTTATGTTTGTCAAGTACAGTGAGGCATGCGTTCTCTCTCATCAGAGGATGCATAATCGGAGCTGATTTCCAGATGGGGACATGTTATCAGATGAATACTTTCTGCACGACTGCATGCTTGCAAAAGTCGTACAATTCTTGCAAATGAGCGCTGTTACGAAATTCTTAGACTGGCCAATAGTAGTCTGAGATTGCAGCAGAATTCTCGAGAATCCGAGAATTGAATACCAGTCACGGGTTGCGTGGATTGAGTTTCGTAAATTGATCCGAACAGAATTTAACCCGCGGCTGCTGTGTGCAATTACAGAGCGTCCATCCAGACCTTCCGAACACGACATTCTACGGATACGGGACGAGTCAAGACACAGCCACATCTCCGGGCCCGACTCTGAACGCCAGGAGGAATGTGGCCTCGTTCATTCGGTTCGAGAATCACATCACCGACGCGGAGCACATTCTGACCGTGGACAAGACGCTGCACAGAGCGACGCCAGCGAACGGAGGCGTGCCGATGAGCGTGCACCTGCACGGCGCCGACGCCGAGGGCAAGTTCGACGGGCACCCGGAGGCCTGGTTCACGGCCCGACCTTCATCGCCACGAACAACACGTACCCGAACGAGCAGCCGGCGAGCCTTCTCTGGTACCACGACCACACTCTGGGCTACACTCGGCTCAACGTGGTATCCGGGCTGGCCGGGCTGTACTTCATCCGCGGGGGATCCGGCGAGCCCGGTTCTCTGCCCGAAGGACGGTACGAGATCCCGCTGGTCATCCAGGACAAGCAGTTCTACCCCAACGGGTCCATCAACTTCCCGGACCTCGGGTCGCCGCTGTCGCCCGCGCACCCGCAGTGGTGCCCGGATTATTTCGGCGACACGATTCTGGTGAACGGCAAAGCCTGGCCCTTCCTCGACGTGGTCGGGGCCGTGTACCGCTTCCGCATTCTGAACGCGGCCAACGCTCGAGCCTTCACTCTCTCGTTCAGCGACAGCCGCCTCCAGTTCGTGCAGATCGGCACGGACGGCGGCTACATGTGGGCTCCCCAGCTGCTGCAGAATCTGACCATGGCTCCTGCTTACAGAGTCGACGTCCTCGTGGACTTCTCAAGCGTTCCCGTCGGGACGACGGTGTATCTGAACAATACTGCTCCGGCCCCGTTTCCTGATGGGGACCCGATCAATAGTCCTCCCAGCACCAGGCACGTCATGAAATTCAATGTCGTTCAATCCATACCCGGGTTGCCTGCGCAGAGTGTGGTCATTCCTACTTCCATCGGGTCCGCCCCCAGCACCGCCGCCTGGATAGACTCGGCGGTGTACAGAAATGTGACCTTGGATGTGGTTCTGCCGCCGGACCTGACGTTTCTGCTGAATAAGAATCACTGGGATGATCCTGTCACCGAGACGCCGAAGCTTTACACGACCGAGATTTGGGATATCATTCACCTCATTCCGGGCGGCATTCATCCGATCCACATTCATCTCATCAACTTCCTCGTGCTGCATCAGCAGGCGTTCGATCTGACTCGGTTTAACGGTGGCCTGTGTTCGCTCCTGCTGTCATATCCGGAGTCCCTCAGCTGCTACACTGAGGCCCCGCAGCCTCCGGACGCCACTCAAGTCGGCTGGAAGGACACCGTGGTCGTCTACCCGGGCACGAGACTCAGAATTCTGATGAATTTCGCGCCCAGAGACTGGCCGCAATTACACGTTCGATCCCACCACGTTCCCCGGTTACGTATGGCACTGTCACAACCTGGACCACGAGGACCATGACATGATGAGGCCGCTCCGAATTCTGCCTGCAGCATCTTGAGTCCACCTTCCGCCTCCAGCATCTAGAAATCGGACCACTTTAGACGTCCATTCTCTCGACATCTGCACATAGCTCACAACCATGTTCTGCACCGTCGACAAGTTTGATGGCCTCTAGCTTCAGCCGAATCCGGAGGAAGAATCGAAATGGATGAGAGCCAGGCGCCAAAAGCACGTAAGAACGCGCTACATTTCACTTTCCTGATCATGCAAATCGTCTTACCGGGCAATAATCGTGGACAATCTAGTAATCGTGTGCAGAGTTCGAGGTCAAGTCGAACGCCTGAAGAGTCAGTACTTCACATGAATCGTTGAAGAGGATGGCTTGAGACTCGAAGGTTATTGAGTTGATCGAAGAGAATGACAGTTTCAGGTGCACAACTGGGACAAGTGTGGAGGAGAGAATGAAAAAAATGAGTAAAGTGTACCAGCGGCTCAAACAGTAATTGAACGGTAACGGTAATTGAAGTTAATTATTAGAGATAGAGTTGGTTCAAATCGGTCTATATGCCTGATTTGAACCAACTCTAATTAGAGTTGGTTCAAATCAGGCATATAGACCGCGGGAATTTTATTACTTGTAAAACGTGGGAATAATTTTAAAATGGCATAACGGATTCGGTTATGACATTTCAAACTATTCCCGGGTTTTCACTTACACCAACTCCAAATTGATAGTATAAAATGACACGCAGGTTCATCATTCGTTTCCATTCTCGCACTGGTCGATGTGACGGGAGATCAGATCAGAATTCGCGCAAGGAGAGAGAGAAGTCGTCCTTCTGGTTGTCTTCATTGTTCGTTCACACTCCCACACCGGTCGATGCGAGCCTGAAACACTAACCTTTGGCGAAGAGGTTAGTGTTTAGGCTGACGAGCTTCAAACGAGAGAAGGAAGAGGCCGCATTGAGGAAGGAGCGCGAGGAGGAAGCGACTTGATTCTTCCTACCTTCCCGACCCTTCTAATCAGACGTATTGGGGAAGGGTTAGGAGCATAAGAAACACTTTCAACACCACGAAGCTCATCCTGCCGCTGAAGTCATTCATGTGCCCTCTGACGAAGGAGCTAGTTGTGGATCCGGTCATTCTAGTAACAGCGAGCGGGCATCGATAACAGCGTGGTTCGCAGAAGGAAACACGACCGATATGACACTGAGACATATCGCTCAGTTCCTCCTGAGTGACTGAGCGATATGACACTGAGGCCAAAAATTCCGGTCAGGCAGTCGATCGAGGAATGGCAGGGGCGCAATTACTGGATAGGTTTTCTCAGAGCGAAGTCCATGTTCCAGTCCGAGAGCGAAGGTGAACAAAAAGCTAAGCTCGATGATTTCATCGAGTTGTGCCCGAAGAACAGATTGGATCGTCCAAGAATGCCTCCTGGTCTATATCGTGAAAGCCATGCTCGGTCGCTCCTACTCTCAAAAAGGGTGGGAGCTAAGCTCAGAGAGGGGGAGAGGGGCCATGAAAGCCCCTCTCACCCGTTCTCCTTTGCCCCATGAGAGGGGCAAGGGAGAACGTCTCTAAGCCCCCTTCCTCCGGAAGGGGGGTTAGAGACGGTTCGGGGGAGGGGACGACCCCTGTCCCCTGTCCCCTCGCGCGAAAAATGCCTGTCGCCAGCCTCTGTTCAGCAGAAATTCGTGCTCCGCCGTCTTCCCAATCTTCCAATAGCACCATCTCCGTGGCCGTCAGTGCCCTCTCCTCTCCCCCTTGCGTCTCGCGTTGGAAGGACATGATCCCCGATCCCTCTCCGCCTCCGCCCATTTCCGGTCACGAGATCAAAACCCCTCGCTCAGGAATCGTGTGAGATCTCGATGGCGTACGATTTCCCTTGTACTGCAGGTTCTGAGCACTGCCACCCGCCGGTGGAGCCCACGCTGGCCCCCTCTCCTCTCCGGTCGATTCGCGGGATATTCTCTCGCTCGCTCCGCCGTTCGGTCTTAATCTCTCGGTCGACGTTCGAGGCACATCTTTGTCGCTTCCGTTCCTTGTTCCGTTCATCCCCCATCACGATCTCACCCCACCTCGTAGGGTAGGAGGGTGCGACCTCGTACGGGACGCGATTCGCAGTGGATGACAACATTCGGTTCCGAGGCTCGGACGCGGCTCCGTCCCTTGGCTGGGACTCGAAGCAGGGAGGCTGTAATGATTGACGTACCGATCTGAGTCTCTTGCTTGGGAACTCCAGCCGGATGTACCCAAACAGGCCAATGCCGCTCTGTCTCTACCTGAGCAGGACCGGACAGACGCTCCGTCGGTCCCAAGGCTTGCGGTTTAGCGTGAGAACAACTCCATGAGGTGTTCCCAAGTGGTACACCGTCCCGTGGTCCGTGGTCCGTGGCCCGTGGCCCGCAGCCTCTGACTATGACCCGAGGGAGGAGTTTCGCGCACCCTGTCAATTTGGGCTCAAGATAGATCGACACCTCCCAATTTTAGCCGAGTGTTGTGCAGAGTTATCTCACGGCGAATGGACACTTGAAGATCCGGTCGACTGCTCAGAGTCCATAGACCAGGAGCTCCCTCAATTTCTGGCTACGAGCTGATTCGAGGCGTGACGAATTTTGAGGTCCACGGATCGTCGATGAGTCGGATCGAGCGGCACATGGTTCCGGGACACATGGCTGAGTTTAATAGTTCTTCTGATATCAACAACGAACCAGCAAGGCTCTATCATGACAGAATTGACAAATTGCTACTTTTGACAATGGTCAGCGACCGTCAGTGTCAAACAGGAAAACTATAAGAAAGGAGTCCATGCCAATACGACCACCGGTAGTAGACTGACATGCTGGGATGTAATCTCATCCAAACGAGCACTGAACTAATTCACGGAGCACAGAGTGAAGAACTTACCCAACTTTCAATTGCTGTTTGAATCCTGGAACTAGACTCCCTCCTTGTGCGTAGTAGCCTGCCTCTTGTAACCTCACCAACCCTGCGTGGGTACCTCTTTCGCCCAATTCTAACACCTCTTCGTGAGTACCGATCTCAATCAAGGTCCCGTTGTGCATGACCCCGATGATAGCCGTTCAAATCACTCTGTCAACGTATGAGATAGAATTTTTACTTTGAATTTGAGTTTTGAAACTCAAATTCAAAGTTAAAATCACATTTCATCTTTGAACTTGAATCTTTGAAACGGCTGAAATTTCTTCATAAACCATCTCCGTGGCTGTCGGTGCCCTCTCCTCTCCCCCTTGCGTCTCGCGTTGGGGAGACATGATCCCCGATCCCTCTCCGCCTCCGCCCATGAGATCAAAACCCCTCGCTCAGGAATCGTGCGAGATCTCGATGGCGAACGAGCTCTCCTCTAATTACGATTTCTCGTCAACGAATTTGCTGTCACCATTCATATGCACATACAATCAAACTCTCACAAACACATTCTCACACGGCCAAAGACGCCGCTGCCACCGCCATGAATGGTGACAGCAAATTCGTGTAAAACTAACAACAGTAGAACACCTGAATGTCCTCAAGTCTTGAAAACAGATCCCGAGGTGGAATGGTGGGGAGTAGTAAGTGGGGATTGGACTTGGCCCCGGACTACTCTCCCGCAAGAATGACGGAAAAGAAAAAAGCTTCAAAGGTTTATATAGTCTTGGCTGGGTAATCCTTTGTAACTCACATCTCCCCGATATTTGAAATTTGAAATGTTTTGCGCGGAAGTGGCCGATCCTGGATCCCTAGGTTGCTTTTAACACCACTCGATGATACGGTTGGTATTAAAAGCAACCTAGATCGGCGACTTCCGGCAGCGGCTCAAAATGTAACTTTGTCTAACCGTATAGAAATGCAAATCCCATGCGGCTTGTTTCCATCGATAGGGATTGGCGCTGGACTCCGGCAGGAGCGAGTAATATAGCATTGAAGAAGATATTGAATAGGTCTAATAAATGTTGTAGAGCCAGAGTACAAAACAATGGACACATTGTTTAATATTCTCAAAAAGAGAATATAAACCTGTACAAGAATAGTTTAACCCTCCACCTCCTTAGTAATGTGCTTTCCATGTTTATTTTAGATAAAGAGCAATAAATGTAACTTCAAGTTGGAATTTTTAATTATTTCTTCATACTCAATTATTCACTTTTTGAAAATTTACATTTTTTTACATTTACTATCTTTAAATCAAGTTGGTTTCTTTATTTATAATTGGATCGTTAGTTTTTGTTAAAAAAAGAAGAAGAATTCATGTGTGACTGCACACATGTTAAGTCACAAGGGAGCTTGATAAGAATATTTTATACTTTCATTGAAAATATTTGTTCAAAAAATTTTTATAATAATGAACTTAAGCTACTTGATCATATACACTTAATCACATCCAAATTTATTTCATTTTCAAATTTACATAATTTACTTGATCTTTCATAGTAGAGTATTGGAAACCATGATTATTATATGTTTAGCTAATTCATGGCAGTTAGTCTGCTTGAAAACCATTTTTTTTGGTGCAATAAAATATGGGAATCAGTTCTTAAAGCTAGCCAGGGTGACAGTGTGAAGACGAGGAAGAAAGTTATAACTCTTTAATAACAGTATTACTAATAAATCTAATTGTTTAATGAAAGACTTTGTAAATCCATTGATATCATGGGTATGAGGTCGAGGAAGAAAGTTATAACTCCTTAAAAACAGTATTACTAATAAATCTAATCGTTTAATGAAAGACTTTGTAAATCCATTGATATCATGGGTATGAGGTCGAGGAAGAAAGTTATAACTCCTTAAAAACAGTATTACTAATAAATCTAATCGTTTAATGAAAGACTTTGTAAATCCATTGATATCATGGGTATGAGGTCGAGGAAGAAAGTTATAACTCCTTAAAAACAGTATTACTAATAAATCTAATCGTTTAATGAAAGACTTTGTAAATCCATTGATATCATGGGTATGAGGTCGAGGAAGAAAGTTATAACTCCTTAAAAACAGTATTACTAATAAATCTAATCGTTTAATGAAAGACTTTGTAAATCCATTGATATCATGAGTATGAGGTCGTGAGTGTTGTTGAAGAAAGATTGAAAGGAAATATAAAATTTAATATGATCACAAACTTAATTATTAAGTTATCTTAGCTATTTGAGAAGATTGGATAAATTCTGACTCACATAACCCTAAACCCTCACTAAACCCTAAACCTCCAGTTCCACAGTTGATGACCCAATCTTCCGCATTTCTATATCATTATCAACCGGAGTAGCCTGTTTGATCTATTCAAGTACAAAGACACGCAAAAGATTTCAGTTTTGGATTCGTTTAGTTTTCACTAACTTATTCAACGAATAGTTTAGTGTCCAATACGAAACTACTCGTTCAATAAGATAAATTACTCGTTCAGTAAGTTACTAAGGGGAAAATAAATTACTCAGGGGATGTAACTTCAAACACTCCTTACGGTCCTCTATGTAGATTGAGGAGGAAGATGGACTCGGAGTGTGTCTAGTGCCTTCGCAATCCTTTGACTCCAGAGTCGATTTGTCCTCGTGAAGTGAAGTCCCGGGAGGAGTATATAAGGCCCACCACTCTGCCCACTCTCTCCAGAGCCCGAAGTCGATTTGTCCTCGTGAAGTCCCGGGAGGAGTATATAACGCCCACCACT